CAGTTGTTCGTTGAAAATCGACGACACAACACACTGCTCGATAAACGCGGGATCGCGGTTGAACGCGCATGCGACAAACTACGCGTCGTGTTGCCGATATCGGATTTAAAAATGTGCAAAGTAAAATGAACGCGGGGTAGATTAGCGAGATACGTTTAATATCACGTGTATTGATCCACACATTAGGAAGAGAAAGGAAGGCGCGACATTTTTCTAAATATCGTTTCGCCCCCGTGTTTCTTTGTACGCCGACGATGGTTGTAAGGTCGACAGCGGCTAGCTAATCTACCGTACACTGTCAAGACTTCACGTGAGTCAACATGCAAATCTGTGGAGTTGGCGAGTGCCAACGTCCAGAGTAGAATAAGCAAAGCATACGTGTTTATTGTTCGGCTCGTTGCTCGCATGTTAAGTGCAGATATTCCCTTGATGGCTTGAACATTTTCAAAACAGCTATAGATACCGTACAATCGTGGCAAACGCGGAAATACATCGAACATCAAGGAAACAAATATTTTGTCGAAATGGGGCTACATGCAGATGTGCTGAGAGTATTGAACGATATTAATACGAATAATCCAGGGAATTAATATTTACGTTAATCGATAAATATCCATCAGACATTGTTAAATAAAATACTAAATTATATTATAAAAATTAATATAAAGTACGATTAATTGATATAAATAGAAGTATCTATTATCATTTCTCTAAGAAAAAAATAAAGGATTGTTAGGAATTATATTTATGGTAAATGATGATAAAACGGTATGCAGATACAATTTTCACATTTAATATTCATCGTTCGTTATGAATATAAATAAGTAAGAAACGAAGCTTAAGTAGAAAGTCTTTTATATTATAACAGTTATCATACTTTGAATATTTTATATGTTTTTGCAAATTATGTACACTCTCTGCATTTCTGTATCTTCAAATTTCTCATGCATGAACGCGGTCTATTTACCTCGTGGACAGTAAAATTTGTAAATTGCACATGTATATTGATAATTTAATTATCGAGGGGTATGTAATCGTTATATAATCATTACAACACAGGTGAAATGAAAAAAAAAACGAAAGAACAAAAATGCGCAAATAATACAGAACGGAAATAATGCAGAACAGAATAATACATACAGAGTATGGAGAACAAAATAAATCTAAGTGATTCACGAATGCTGCAATTAAATACGAGTGGCGGATATTTGCGATCCAAACAACGCGAAACAATTATCAACGGGACGTTTATAATTTCTTTTCCCTTTTTTTCTCCCATTTTTTTTTTTTTTTTCGATCAGTTTTCATTTGAATAATATTGTTCCAATCATAGATATCAATTTATTTTCTCGCTCTCGGAATATTCGACGCTCTCGACAACGGTTGCTTCATAAATGTTCACAAGTGTTACACTGCAGTTACACGGGATTTCGCGTGTATTTTATTAATTCTACCAAACGTTGTAAGTACATAGTTTATGTAAATTACGGGTAAATGTTGCGATTACTGGCGCCCTACGCGTGTATTAGTCGTACTGCATGTGTTTATACGTATGTATGCATGTCTATCAAAGCGAGTTCGCCGGTGTGCTTGCCAGTGTATACTAATTTTCGTACTGTCGGCATCGATATTAAACGTAATTACACGAGATCTCGATAAATTTTCATTTGTATGTCGATGCCCATCAATAAGATCGAGATATCAAAGGGAAAAGTAGCTGAAATCAAATTCGTCGTTTCGAACTACGACGTTTCAATCATTTTGCGGAAAATATTGAAATATTTTGCGAAATATTCTCCTCTTAATTTACCCTGACTCTGACGCTCGAATTATTCCGCGGAAAATATTGAAACACGCCTGAAAAATATTCTGCAATTTAATACGACGTGAAACGATTTTCTAACGGGTCTCGTTTGTTTGACTACACTCTCTCGAAAATACGAATTAGCGTAAAAATCTTCGGCCTGATGATCAATTTATACAACTTCACAAAGCTATATAATACGATTATATCGCGATCAAAATATTGAATATTTACAAGGAGATATTAAAGGGGATGTTACAAGTCAAAAGAGTCAAATCTATTAATTTTAGCTGAGCTGTGTGAGAGTGGCTGGCGACCGTTTCGGATATTAAGCTGTGGATGCGTTTTCACTGCAGCAAATCTGCATAGTCAGAGCTTTTTGGCTCTGTTTTATGGCTACGGCTAGTACGAGAACGCTTGAAACGCGTAAAACCGGAACAAGCCGCGCTTTAACGTTCAATGTAATCAGTTAACGTTCTTATGATTCAGCGAAGGTAACAGAGACGCACTGCAGCTTTCGAAATCCCAAAGCTTAGCTTGCACGATTATTTCAATTACAATTACTAGACCGCGGATGTTCATGCAAACATTTAATAAATACGATCGAAGATATACAGAGTGTTCCCTTGCACTGGTAACAGAATCAAAAAGGAAAATGTTATTCTACGTAAAAAAAAAAAAAAAAGGAAAAAAACAGAATGAAAATTCCTCATATAAATTGCGCGTCAATGTACTTTCACAGTATATATCGTATATATAAATTTAATATAATATACCAATTTGTCAATACCATCATGACTACAATGTTAATGAAATTTAGATCTTATTTTCGCGAGCCACCGTATAAAATTGATTCAATTTAACTCGTGGACGAAGATCTCCCGTGCATGTTCGAAAACGATAAAAAAAAGAAAGAAAGACAGGGAAACGACGCGTTTGCGCGTCATCGCGGTCGACATTCAGTTAAACAAAACTGATACAGCCAATCAATGTTATTGACGAACGACATGGTGCCGTCGATAGAAAATTTTATTGCGTACCGGTTGGACGAGAGGAGAGGACGCAGTGACGCGCGACAGCGATTGTCGAATGAAAGGCGGACACCAGTGTGACGGTGCATCGATTCGACCAAGTTACGATATCCTCAACGATGTCGTGCACGCGTCCGATCCGTC